ATCCATCCATCCATCCATCCATCCATCCATCCATCCATCTATCTATCTATCTATCTATCTATCTATCTATCTATCTATCTATCTATCTATCTATCTATCTAAATATCTATCTATCTATCTGTCTGTCTGTCTGTCTGTCTGTAATTTTAAGACAACAATAAGGATTTTTTTCTGTCTCAGCCCAAATAAATTATAGGCTAATTTTTAAATATGTATTTTTATATATTTTGTTACATGTTACTTCAAAAAATTTTCATTAATAAATTTAAATATCACAATTAATATAATTTTTTGCCAATTCAAAATATCTATCTATCTATCTATCTATCTATCTATCTATCTATCTATCTATCTATCTGTCTGTCTGTCTGTCTGTCTGTCTGTCTGTCTGTCTAACACGTCTTCCAAACTTATTTTTCTCTGGTGCATGTTATCAATATTTTAAAAATGTTAAATAAAAAATGTTTCAATTAGGTCTGTTTAATTTTCCTCTTTGCTATGTTATTAGATAGAGACGTTAGGCCAAAATGTGCTTATAGATAGTTTTTCTCCACAGTTTACAGTTCTTTCTCAGTGATTTTGTGAGCATTAGCTTGGACTTGTTTGAAGTTTCTGCTGTGGTTTGTGGGATCTGCCTACACCATACAGTAGTTTTGGAAGTTATGGAGTGTCTTCCGATGTGTATAATTCTCCCCTGACTTCAGTTGCAGACCATTTTAATTAAGAAAAGGTCTGTACAGCTGTCATGTGTGGCAGGCCTAAGAAACTGAGAACCTCTTTATAAATATTTGATTGACAGAGATCACTGTTGCTGTCATTACATTATAGAAGGATAACTGACAGACTTGCATCAAAGTTTGTGGGTGTGCCATCTGCATTTTTGATTGAGGCACTAAAATACTTGAGTGCTTCATCTCAAATAATAGATACCTTGAAGGTCTGTTTCCCTGGTTGGATTTACAGATTTATGGGCAGTAGAAAATTCTTGATGTGCCAAATGATTTTGAAAAGGTAACAGATAGCTCTAGTGTTCACTGTGTGACTCCATGTCAATATCTATTTGATAGTTTTATAGTTGAGAAAGAGCCGCTCTGTAGTTTAAATAATTGCAATAATTGTATAAGAGGCTGATATTGTATTAGGACTGCCCGAGTCCAGACTGCTTTCTTGCCTCATAGTGGACTTTTCTTTTGTCTTGCCATCATTTTGTCGCTCTGTGACTGATCGTGGCCTGAGGCTGCACAGCAGGCCGCAGGAGAACAGCTGTAAAAGGACACCCAACCGGGATATTTAATCGCAGAGCGAAATTATGTATTAAAAATCACACCAAACAAGGGTTCCCACCTGCTGTATATGGATGCCTAAGCGATAGGAGGCAGGAAAGTCCTGTTGAGAGCTCTGCGGTTGCAAGTAACAATATGCTTTTACCCAAACAAAGCTTTCTCCGTGCTCTGATTCCCGGAGACCAAATAACCTCCATGACCTGTTCTCTGTGCAGTGCTTTAGTTAGACCAACTTTTTAAGATTAACAAACCCGATTGCATATTTGAATTTGATTGCATGCAATAGTTCTATAAACAAGTTAATACTTTGGCAATAGAAAAAGAAAAGTTAGTTTGTATTTTTTCTCTTTTTATTATATATTTGCACTTTGGTGATTCTGACACCTCTTTGATTGCTTATTCTTTATAATTAGTTACTTTATTACATAAATGTCTCATCTGTTTCTTGTTGGATTGATGATCTCATAGCATTTACATCCCCTTCAGAAAATAGCATCAACTTTGTGTTGCATTTCCATTATGGAATAATTTATTGTTGGAAATTTGTTGAAGAGGTTAAAAAGGGTGGATTAAACATGATATGACATGATGACTTTAAATGCAAGTTTTGATGCTAGATTTATGTTAACTGCCTAAACATGTTTTACCGAGTCCTTTGAACACCCACAGGCACTAAAGTATTTGTTAATCATATTTTAAAATGAACGGAATGCTTTCATTTTCATGACACAGATAAAACTTAATCATTACAACTTAGAAGTCCTTGAGTTTTCATTGAATTTTTACACAGATGATCTATGGTGTGTTTGATGGAAGGGCGAGATGCATGTGTGAAGCGTGACCTTTTAGCCAGCGGCAGCATTCTTGTAGGTGAATGGCAGTGCTTATTTAAAGGAAGAGTTCACCCAGAAATTAATTTTTTTGTCATTATTTTCAGATTTGCATGCTTTTAATGGTGCTTTTTTTCTTTTCTGGAGCTTTGCAGTAAGAATCAGCACCCACTTTTTTGTGTGAACTGCAACTTGGACATTTTTCCTTTTGCATTGGCATTCTTTTAGAAGAAACTAAAAGTGCTGCAGAGGGATGTTCTCAATTCTGTCCTGGTTCAGCAACTCCTGTGGTTTCAGAAATCCATGGATTTTCCAGTCAATAAACAGATCCACTCATAGCTGAGTCTTTTTCCCACTCAGACTCAAGTGGGGGCCCGTTTCTTTGCCTGAGAAGTGTTGATGCAGAGATGTGAATTGGACTTTTCTTTAACCCACCTCTTCTTTTCAAGGAGAGCAGTGGAGACGGCATTATCCCGTGAGCTAAATGGGCTGTATTTAACCCACTTTGTGAGAACGGGAGCCCCTGGGATCAAGAGATGGCTAAACTGTGTGTATGTGTGAGGGTCAGTGAGTGAGCGAGAGAATGTGTGTTTGTGCACTTCTCATGTACCTCTTCAGTACAAAGAGTCTGGATTTGTCATTAAACTGGAGGCATTGTGATCTGGTAACAGTTGATGCAGAGGAATGGAATTCCTTTAATGAAATTAAATTTCATTTAAATGAAAGCATTCCAAACTTGTAGCCATTGCATGTGTTCTAGATATGTAAATATTCATAGTCCATACTCTATGCAATGTTCTCACAACATTATTAATAAATTAATAGTTCAAGGGTTGCATGGAAGATAATAGCAATTTGTCTGAATTCAGCTTCATACAAATTACGAATCACATTTTTTATGAGAGGAAAAACTCTCTAGATCAGCTAGTGGTTCTTAAAAGGTTTTGCTTCAGGACTGAATTTTATCATTTTATCAAGCAGTGACCCAGCACAAAATTGTTTATCATCCAAAAGTAAAAAAAAAATGTTCAGATACTTGGAATGCACAGAGAATATATTTCCTCTCCCACGTCATTCAGCAATTATATGGTTATTTTTCATGGTTAATGTGTTTAGTTAGTCAAAATGACCCAGCAATGACCTACAGTATATGCAATAAGCCATATCTCACACTTCGACATGAAAAATATATACCAAAAATTGAAAGTTCATGTTTTAGGTTTGCCTGCTGTGCTGCCTGTGGCTTTCTGCATCACAAAATTTGAAACCTATGTAGTCTACATATGCAATACAGACTGGGACTTTATTGTTTGGAACAGTCTAGTAAAGTTACCTAACACTGTTGTGTTCAAGGCAATTCATTTGATGGGTCAAAATGAGCTCTCTTTTTTTGTTAATTTAGACAAGCAGTTATCGACCAATAAACTCAAAATGGCCAAATGATGTCTTATCACTAGTCTCACAGATTTGCTTTAAATAGATGCATGTTTTGTTGATGTGATACTCCAGTGTGCCAGCTAAAAGGGTGGGGACCGCACTGATGAATGGGAACTGACTGCAACACATCTGTGTTTTACAGCACAGTGTCGTAATCTATTCACAGTAATCCTGCAAGAACAGAGGGTACCGATAACATTCAGTGACAGGATTGAGAACATATGTTTCTCCTTAATGCTTGTCATTTTTACTCTGCCACACAATAGTTTGGGGGGTTTAAAGGGTGTGCATTCTAATAGCATGTGTAATGTCCGAGATCTAGGGCAGATGAGATCAGGAGTGTAGAATTTGTAGCAGGTATGTAGGTTACTGTTTTTTTTTTGATACATTTAATTTAGAACCAAATTTGCTAAAATACAAGTCCATAATTTATAATATTGCTTTCTCCAGTAAAAAAAGTCATCTAGCTTGAGAAATATGCACAGATCAAGCACTGTTTAGAAGCAGAATCAGTCCAAAACGGTTCTAAACAAATATGTTTATGGTTTTTGATGTAAGAGGAAAAGAGGGGATGGATCTTTTCATTGGATGAAATGTTATTATGATGGACTGTTTTTTGGCTAGAAGCGACAGTTTACAGCTAAAATGTCTTAATGATGGATTTGTTTCTTACAAACTCACAACTTTTTATTTCACAAGATTTTAGTTGATGGACTGGAGTCCATTACTTGTGGATTACTGTGATGTTTTTATCAGCTGTTTGGACTCTCATTCTGAAGGCACCCATTCACTGCAGAGGATCCATTGGTGAGCAAGTGATGTAATGCTAAATTTCTCCAATTTTCTTATGATGAAGGAACAAACTCAAATACATCTTGGATGGCCTGAGGGTGAGTAAATTTTAAGCAACATTTATTTTTTGGTAAACTAGTCGTTTGAGCAACTTGCAGGTTAAAGACCTGTTGGTCATGTTTTTTTTTGTCAGCTGGGTCGCCATTTAAACTGGTTTCTTTAACTCTATTGGGTAACAAAGTTGAATTTGCTCTTTGTTTGCTTGGGACAATGAACTATCAGCTGTTCCACAAGTGCAGGTGTGCGCTGTGGCTATTCATGAGGTCAAAGCTGAAAGGTCTCTCATTTTGGTCCAGTGCTATAAATGCAGCTCTGTCTAAATGATATCTTTAGAGACAATTAGGTCTATTCTAAGTGCTGATTTAGTGATCTTCAAAGCTTTTTGAGCTTTAAACCACAATTGAATTCTAGAAGATATTTGCAGACATGTACTACCGGCTCATACCACTAGATATTTTGCTTTGATCTGAATTTGCTGTGGCATGTCCTCTTCCTTTTCAGGGTGAGGCTGTAAGCGCTAGCAGCTGTTGTTTGTATTTTTTTTGTGTAGTGTCTGTCCTTGGTGTCTGAACCTCTTGCTCTCACACTGAGCTTCAGCAATTCAGTGCCAAAAACCAATAGGAAAACCATAATTACAGCTCTTGGGTCATGAAAAGGCGATTTGTAATACTCTTTATGGCCTGCACTCTACTATCATCATGGCTAATAGGCCACTGAGCGGCCCCTGAGTGCTCCTGAAGTCCTTCCTGCCCAGGTTGAAACCCTTATTTTTTTCGCTCCCTTCACCTGTAATTGTGGCGGCAGTTTACCTCTATAGCGTTATTTGACAAATGACAGGCCAATGGGTTCTGTACACATCTCACATTCCCCCGAAAATGCATCTGTGGTTTAAAGGCGTTAAAAGCAAATAGGAAAAGTTTACTTTTGGTGAAATTGCATTATGCGGACATAGACGCTGTGTGTACGTTTATTGTAAGGTGCATTGTGTAATAGATGATAGATTGACTTCCTATTTGGGTTTTACGGTTTGTGTCTTGCTTTTGCAGCTGCTGTGGAAGAAGATTGTGTTGATAAGGAGGGGTAGACGGGTGGGGATGGGTACAACTGCATGTTATCTTTATTACTGTCTGTTGTCATCGGTGTAAAGTTCTACTTCAGTGGATCTGAGGTGCAGAGGAGAGATTTTTGGCCTGTCACTTGTGAGCTAGGAGGAATGATGCTTGGGAGATATCTTATCCATTATTTAATGTAACTTTTGTAATGATGTAAAATGTAAAAT